CNCAAGAAATTGAGTTCATCTTCTCCTTCGGTAACTGATTCATCATCAGATTCAACTTCATTTTCATTTTTGTCATAGTGAGCATCAAATTCCTGCTGCTCCTCTTTTGTGCGTTTCTCTTTTTTTGCTTTTCTTATCCAGTCATATAAAGACATCTTCTCATAAGCAATAGGACGGTAAATATAATCATAAACATTTGACAATCCAATGTACATTCCCTCATATTTTTGCAATACTACTTTCTCTGGCATTTCTTTCTCATCAGAAACAGTTGACTTTGATGTGTCATTTTCTGTTGTAATCATCCAGGGATTTCGAGCCTCTCTTACAAAATTTTTCCAATAGAAAAGGGTGAACTTGTGACTCGTATAGTGGTCAGGGTTTCCAAGCAGATAGAGAGAAGCCATAGGACTTCCTATTTCCATCCTAGCAGTTAATGCATTCACCATTTTTGTCATCAATCGACGAGCAGTATTTTGCCTGTCATCATTTCCTCCAATCATTTCAGAGTTTCTGTTAAACACTTGACGAACGGCATCAAAAGCTGTATATGAATTTAAGCCAGTTTTTGTTACATATTCGGTGATATATCCAACAACCGCCTTTATTGCTGTACCTGACATCATGCACTTCAGTCACCCACCTTGAACAAGCTATTAGCCTTGTAAAATGTAAGAATGTATCCAGGCTAATAGGTTGTGTGGCCATTTATTTTTTTGCCTTTGGGAGAAAATATAATATTGGATTGGGTAGAAAATATTTGACCTGTAATATTGTGACCAGAAATGTTTGGGTAAATAAATTGTGTTCAAAAATATCCTAGTCAAGTGAAAGTGGTCAGAAATATTTGAAGGGGTTCAGACTGGTAAGAAATGTTTGAAGTGTGTCAGACTGGTAAGAAATGTTTGAGCCAAGTCTAACTGGCCAGAAATGTTTCAGTGGTGTGACATCAATCAGATATATTCTAAGCATGTCACACTGTTGAAAAATCTTTTAGCCTTGTCACATGGCTCAAACATATCTGACCAGTGTCACGGGGTATCTGGGGTCCCAGTTTCAAGAAAAAAACTTGTTTTTTCTGGTGCAGTTTTCTCATCATTTTGTACATTGCTTTTTTTTCCCCTCAAAACTCATCTAAGTTTGTTCTCACCAATACCCCACTTCTATCTGCCATTTTCACCACTCTAAGTCTGTTTTCACCAACATCCCACTTCTCTCTGTCATGTTCACACCACTCTAAGGTTGTTTTTACCAACACCCCACTTCTCTCTGTTATGTTCACCACTTTAAGTCTGTTTTTACTAACATCCCACTTCTCAACTCAACCAAGTTAGCATCCCTTAGAGCCTGTTCAGCAAC